CCCCCCCCCCCTAAATTTTCCTTTCTCTTCCACCATTTTGGAGTTGTTGCTCTGTTTTTGCAAAGCCAATTCCTTTTCTATTTTTCTTTCTTTTTATTAAAGTTTAATTTGTTTCATCTTTTAGGCCGTGAAGGCTTCAGTTTTATTTTTCAGGTGCTCTTTACAGGTTTCTGCAATGCATTTTCTCTCCTCATTGTTGGAGGTTGCGTCACATCGTTTGGTCTTAACCACTGTCATCGGCTCCTTAACTCCACAAATGTTTCTTCCATTGTTTATCCTCAGTGGAACTTATGGAGTTTGGAATGCCCTTAAAGTGCAAATAGCACTTATTGCTTGGATTATGGTAGCACTACTCTTACTAGGTGTAGGTGGCTTGCTCACCACTATTTTCTGTTGGTTACTGGTTTCTCTTTGGTGGTTGTCGGCTTGCTTTGGTGGCGCAGCTTATGGCTATTGGATTGTGCGGCACATATTTGTTATTGGTGTTAGGGTTTCCAAATGTTGTGTTGTGTTTTGTGGGCTTTTGCCTTTTGTAGGCTTTTTGCCATTATGTGGGCTCTTTGCCTTTATGTGGGCTTAATGCATTTATGTGTGCTTTATGCATTTTGTCAGTTTTATTTGTAGTGGGCTCTATGTATGTTTGTATTGCATTTTGTGCGAACTCAATTATTTGAGTTCATTTTAATATAATCTGGCTTTGACCTTCTATTTAATGAAACTCGATTCTGACAAAAAAAGAAAAAAGAAAAAAAGAATACCGCTCTTCTCTTGCTTGTTGCAGTGCAGAGGTGAATACACAATCCTAATCCAAACAATATATCAATTAATTGAAGACCCAATCCCAATCTCAAATCCCAAATCATTTTTTTTACTTTCAATTTTATTTCTTCTTATGTTTTTTTTTTGTTTGGTATTTTTGCTTTAGTTTTTTTCTTTTCTTTTTTATAATATATTTTTTTCTTATTTGTTTCTTTTAGCTCTCTCTATATCAGATATCAATAGCAAACTCGAAGATGTTGTGCGGCACACAACTCGAGGTCTGAATTTTGATAAATTATAAATGACAGTAGTATTGATTATTTATTTTAAGTATTACTTTACTTTAGGATATAACATGGAGGAGGGATATGTTCAAATACTAAATGGTTTATCAATTATTTATTTTCATTGAATTAGTCTGACAATTGGGGTCAGTCACTTGAGAAATCTTTAACTTGCTCAAGATTGTATTTTGTTAACTTTCTTGGATTTCAATTGTAATAGCTTCTGATTTAAAGATAAAGGACTCATGATAGGTCTCAGTACAAAGAAACTTTTATGTAGTGGAAATATACTTCTTTTGTGTCTTTCTCACTCGTCATGTGACTATTTATATGATAAGTCAGAAATAGAGTAAGGAGATAGTATCCAATACAAGAAAGTTTTTGTCGACTACAAACACGTATGATAAACAAGTTGGACTATTGTAGTTACGTAGATTCGACAAAATTCAACATAAATATAAAGCAACATAATACGATAGATTTCTTGAGGTTGGAAAAAAATGAAATCAACCCAACCCAAGGTGAATTTAGGTTAACTCAGGTTGGGTTCAGGTTGCCCAATTTTATATGGGTTGAACTCAACCCCACACTATAGAATTTTACTAGCAAGGTTTATCATAACTTCTTAGAAAAGTGTTGCTAAATGTACAAGAAAGTTTTTGTCGACTACAAACACGTATGATAAACAAGTTGGACTATTGTAGTTACATAGATTCGACAAAATTCAACATAAATATAAAGCAACATAATACGATAGATTTCTTGAGGATGGAAAAAAATGAAATCAACCCAACCCAAGGTGAATTTAGGTTAACTCAGGTTGGGTTCAGGTTGCCCAATTTTATATGGGTTGAACTCAACCCCACACTATAGAATTTTACTAGCAAGGTTTATCATAACTTCTTAGAAAAGTGTTGCTAAACGAATCCTAAAATTAATTGAATACACCCTATTATCAAACTATTTATTGAATTATTAACTTATCCAAATATAAAATGATGAAAAAATGATTTATTTAATTGTGAAACAAATGTAATTTTAATAAGTACACCCTACTCATCATCGTCAACCCTAATCAAAGAAATGTTGTCACATATTGATTCCAGTATGCAACTAATAAAAGAAAAATAACAAAAACAAAAAACAAAAAAACAAAAGAACCCCCGCCACCTTGGCTTCATTTATATTTAGTTGCATAAAAGAAAAATAACAAAAACAAAAAACAAAAAAACAAAAGAACCCCCGCCACCTTGGCTTCATTTATATTTAGTTGCATAAAAGAAAAATAACAAAAACAAAAAACAAAAAAACAAAAGAACCCCCGCCACCTTGGCTTCATTTATATTTAGTTGCATAAAAGAAAAATAACAAAAACAAAAAACAAAAAAACAAAAGAAACCCCGCCACCTTGGCTTCATTTATACTTAGTTGCATAAAAGAAAAATAACAAAAACAAAAAACAAAAAAACAAAAGAAACCCCGCCACCTTGGCTTCATTTATACTTAGTTGCATAAAAGAAAAATAACAAAAACAAAAAACAAAAAAACAAAAGAAACCCCGCCACCTTGGCTTCATTTATACTTAGTTGCATAAAAGAAAAATAACAAAAACAAAAAACAAAAAAACAAAAGAAACCCGTCACCTTGGCTTCATTTATACTTAATTTCAAAAGAGGACAACATTCATGTTCCATGGGGGAACACACCCAGGCAAGCCAAAGAGCACAGTGACATGAATTTGGCTCATGTAAGTAGGAAAGCTCTTTGAGATTGATCAAGATGGAAATGGCACTGTCTTGGATTTAGTTGACATGATGAATAAAAGAATAAAAGTGCTAGCCCATTTGATGTACGATGGTCAAGATGATAATCTGGGAGTACAGCAGGGGGTTTGGTACCTTGATAAATTTTCTGTTATTTTAAAGGGATGTGTGGTAGGGAGGGTGTAGAACTTGGAGATGGGTGGTGGTGGAGGAAGGAATGGGCGGGCCACGGGTGGGGGTTGGGTGTGGAGGCGGTTGTTGGAGGAGAGGGAGAGTGGGGGACTGGGTAGGTTTTTTTATATTTTAGTTTTATGAATAAATATTTTCAATTGTTTCATTTGTATGGGTATTTTTGGTAGTTAAATAGGGTGTACTTAATTAAATTTATATTTTAATTTAAATATTATGATGTACTTAGATCTTAGGGTGACCGGGTTGTGAATTTTACCCACACAAACAATGCTGCTGGCAGATCATATTTTTCCAGTCTCATGGCAAGCACTCCCTAGTGTCTAGAGAAAACCTTGCATGAAATTGGTTAATGTAATCTCTCACTCTATCTCTCTCATCACGTGAGCGAGCGAGGGTTCGAGCGAGTGTCGAGTGATGGGAAACATTGATATTGTGTTGTGGAACATATATCTAAAAGAACACTCAATCCCTACATACACCAATGTATTTCCAAAATCAGAGCTGATAGGCACAAAACAAACAAATTGTATAGAGCAGTTGAGGAAATGGTTGTGCCAATCCTCTTCAAGGAACAGTCTTCTCAAGTGCTTTTCAAGGAACAGTCTTCCTTCTAATAAATTCTAACCCCAAGCAAGAAACCAAATATCAAGTTTTGCAACAATGGTTACTTCAAGGAGAGATCAATGCCCCAAAGTCAACAAATCAACTATCAAAATGATCAAATGAACAGCAGCAATTGCACCAGACATGAACATGAACACCCAATTCCAAAATTGTCCAAATGGGTTTCATTTTAACCCTCCAAATTTTCATTTTCCAATTCCAATACCCTAACATCCATAAAATGTAGAAAAAACCATTGATCCCCAGCCACATCAAATGCGAAAGTGTAAAACATATACACAGTGAAGTCATCAACAACAGAAATTTGATTCTTATATAGACCATTGAAATATAACAAGTAAGAGATTCAGAATCAACAACCACATGTTAAATCCAAACCCCATATTTACCCAAATTAACATAAGACTACTTCATCCCAACTACAAATAATTACATCCAAAACCAGTTGTAAAAGATACCCAAATCTCCAAAGATCTAATCTTTCCCAGCAATGAACTGAAGAAATCCTTTTAGTTTATGTGCTTCAAACCCAGCCCATGCTTCCCACGGACGCAGCCAGGCCTCACAAGCAAGTAAGGCGATCGCTTCGAATTGTTCATCTTCGGAAATGTCCTCTTCCCCAATTTCCTCATCCTCTGCCTCCCAAACTTGTCGCTCACCGACCACGGCACGAGCTCGTCATCTAAACCATACCCATCATCATCGTCATCATCACCATCATTACCAAGGCCCTCATCCTCATCACCACCGTCAAAATCGTGACGGGGTTTGAGATTGAGGCCCACATCGAGAAATCGAACAAGATGGGGACGACGATGGCTATGGCCACCGACTGGAACTGCCATTGGCGGAGAGGTCGAAGAGATTGAAGAGGAAAATGAAGAAGGCCCGATACTGAGCCCATCAGACCCATTTGCTTCTTCGTCTTTGTCTTCTTGTTGTTCGGAGTCAGAGTGGTGGTTGTGGTGGTGTTTTTCTTCTGAGTCTGCATCAGAGGCATCAACGAACTCCCAGTGCGAAAGACCCACATAGTCTTCTTCTCCAATTTGCAAGAATTCAAATTCTTCATCCATGGAATTTTGCCCTTGAAACTTCCCCAATTCCATTTCTCTCTCTCTTGTTTTTGGTTCTGTTTAAGTTTTTGATCTTTTAGTTTTGAAATGAATTAATTATTGGGTTCCTTCACTAACTTCAGTTTTATAAAGGCTTCGTTGCCTTTCTCGGGAATCTGATGTGCGCATAAAGGATGAGATGTCCGCCCCGTCCGCAAGTTATCTCGTTCCATTGGTGCACGCGACTCTGCCCAATGGCTTTCTTCCACCTGTCACATTCCAGTTTCTAATTTTTTTTACTCTTGCCTAAACCAAAACTACCCCGCTAACAAAGTTAAAATACTTACATGTAACGGAAGGGCTTGTTACTCAAGTGCTCAAGATTCTCGGGAAATCCATTTTCAGTTTTTGTTGAGCGGCCTATTGCTCAACGCTGCTTCCCCATGGGAGTTAGAGACGGGATCGAGAACGATGTCCTAAGTTCAGTTTCCCCTCCTTTAATATTGCGTGTATAAAAAACAAAAATAAAAAACCGTCACGCACTAAAATTTAGCTTTTGTTAAATTCTCTAAATTTAGCTTTATAATTGTTCACAAAACTACCTTGAGGTATAGTTTTTATTTTTTGAGTTAGCTCTTGGAGTAAAGTTTTTGTGGTTTTTGAGTTAAAATAGCCAAATAACATGGTTTAGTTAGACTGTTGGAGACGCTCATTTGCCCAACTGATGACAGAAGATGAGAATCAATCCTTTCCAATATAACCCAACACAAGAAAACTAAATTGTAATAAAATGTTTATTTTTTCAGTCATGTATAAAATTGTGTTGCCTAAAGTTAAGGTATGGGCTTCAAAATCCCCGATGCTTGGTGTGAAATTGAGTTTGGGTCGGAAATTTGACTTCAAATATTTTGTTTGTTTTTGTGGCAATGCTAATTGTGATTTATTCTTTTTGACAAACCAAGGAATTGAAAGTGTTCGTGGACAAAGAAGCTGTCAGTCTCATCATGATTTGTATACGTTTCGTGGGCACTTTTTATATATCTAAATTGGCGCCTAAATTTATTATTATTACTTTTTTCATAGAAGCGATATTGAGGAAATGAGGAATCGAACTTAAGATCTTGAATACATGAGTACTTTTAATTACTTGAGCTACAAGCTCTTACATTGCACATGCACTTTAATAATGAATGGAGTAGATTAGTTAATTGAATATTTGCGTACACGTAAAATAAGTGAATTTCATAAATTGTCATCCTTCTCGTGTTCAAGAAAAAATGTTAATGATTTTTCAGTGACAAATATCTATATAGTTTTACAGTTGGTGAAAATCATGAACAAATCTTCGGAATCGTGGAGGAGCTACTGAAATTTACCGTAGTTTTATGTTACATAAGTTTAGATGTATATGCTTTCTTTTACCGATTTAGTTGGGTATGGTGGTAGGCAAGTTCATAAACAAAAGGCCGAAATCATGGAGTAAGCTACTGTAGTTTATGTGACATAAGATAAGATGTATATGCTTTCTTCTATCCATGATATTCTGCAGTTGTTCCCAAATTATCTAAAATTTTATTGGATGATGTGTGAGGGTTTTTCTACCGGAAAAATAAAAATTTTATCTTTTAATAATATTATGATAATCTCTTATTACAAATGAAAAAAAATTTCAATTTCAATCACGAAGAAATGAATTTGAGGGACCTAGGGTTTTTATTTTATTTTTGTAAAGGCTGTTCTTGTTTTGTATAACTGAAAGGAATTTCCATTAAACCCTAGTAAAGGGAACAAAAATAATGAAACCAGACCAATACAAGGAAATTCCCAGCAAAGGGAACAAAAACAAACGAAACTAGAGTCTAGACCAATACAAGGAGAACTCCAGAAGACACTACCTACTGAAACTTTCGAAAACATACGAAGGGAGAAGGGAGGGGTGGTGCATGGCGCTTGGGATTGGAGGTTGTTGGCGAGATATATCCTATTCTATTTGGGTTTTATTTATTTTTCCCTTTTGTATAGATATTATGTAATTAGGATTCCTCTTATTTCCTAATTCAACCCTACTAGGGTTTGTAACCTTGTATTATAAATACCTCCTTTCGGAGAATGAAATATATCTGAAAATATTCTACCCATATTGTTTGACTGAGGTGGTGTCTTTCATATTTTTTATTTTTTAAGTTTTAGGTTTTTTTTAATAAATTTTTTAAGTTTAGCTCTTATTTATTTATTTTAAAATTGTATTCAAATAGTTATGTTTTTTATATTAATATTTAAATAGTTTTTAAATTATTCTAATATAAAATTTAACAGAACAATCCACATTGGCTAACGGTCCTAATACACAGGCTCAAGGACCGCTATGAGCACGTTCACAGTCAGATATAGGTATCCAAATTGTTATATAAAATATAGTTTTCCTCTTTTTGTAAAAGCCAAAAGCAAAATTCTTTATAATATAAATAACATATAAAATAAATTGGAAAATCTTTTAAAGTAAAGTAAAACTAAATAAACAAATAATAGGTAAATAAAAGTAAAATAAATTAAGATTATGAAAGCAAGCCAAACACAGGGACTGAATTGGCCAGATTGCAAACACGGGGGCTAAATTGGCCACCATAGTATAATATTTTAAAGAATAACGTAGGGCTAAATTTTCCATCTCTAGCCATGCAAGACTATATTTTAGGGCCCTCCATATTTTATTATTTTGAGAGGCACAAGGAGGTGCATCTCCTCTTGCCGGAGAAAAGGTTGCATGTGCCGGAAAGTTGCCCCTTTGCTCAGTTTGTAGGGATGGCAATGGGTCAAATCGGGGGTGGGTATATCATTCACATTCTCATCCCCATCCCCGTCAAAAAATTTTCCCCCATTCCCGCCTTCATACCCGTAATATTCATATCGGGGATTCCTCATCCCCACCTTCATTGGGGAATAGATTCCCCAACCCGCCCCATTACGGAAGAAAAAATCAATATATAACTACTTTGTTGAAGAAGAAAAAAAGTACTAAGGCAAGATAATGAATATATATAATAATACTTATAAGACAATATAAGAATATTTATATATATTAAAAGTTAACTAAATAAATAAGTAGTGTGGCTTAAGATTTGTATAAATTATATAAGTATATAATATATTAATATAAAAACATAAAAATATAAAACTTAGTTAGCACAATCACTTTAATAGCATATATATATTCTAAACGGGGAGGGTTCGGGTTGGTGATTAAAATACCATCCCCACCCCTCCCCGAACACCATACCCAAAAAATTCTTCGTACCCATCCCCATACTCCTTTTTTATCCTTCATACCTGACCCATTAGGGTTGAATCCCTGAGAAGACCCTTACCCGTGGGGAAAGTAGCCATTCCTATCAGTCTGGTTGTGCACTCTACCTGTTCGACAAAAGGCCTACTTTCCTTTGTTGCGTAGCACGAGCGCTTATATATTCTTTTAAAAATTCTTGATCAAAACGATGTCGTTTTGAACCAGGAAAAAAAGAAAAGAAAAAAAAAGGTATGCATGATGTAGACGGAAAGGGAGGGAACTCCTTCACTAAGAAGGAGATTTTGCTTTTAAAAAAAGAAAGTCCCTTTTTCATTTTTCTTTGAATAAAAAAAAGTCCCTTTTTTATTACATCCCACCAATCAAATCCAAGTCCTTATAAAAGAGCAAGAGCGCCAATATATTCTTTTAAAAATTCTTGACCAAAACGACGTCGTTTTGAATTAGAAAAAAAAAAATGTATGTGTGATGTAGATGGAGGGAACTCGTTCACTAAGAAGGAGATTTTGCTTTTAAAAAAAGAAAGTCCCCTTTTTATTTTTCTTTCTTATTAATTTTTTTTTAAAAAAAACCCCTTTTTGATTACTTCCCCACCCACCAATCAAATCCAAGTCCTTGTAAAAGATCATCAAATTCACAAAAAAAATTTCGTCTCCACCACCAAATATGTTTTTTTAGAGAACTCGAGTCTTCTATAAAATCTGATTCATCAATCAAGGCAATGGCGAAAGGATTTTATGTGTGTGTCAGCCTCTAACAAAATATAAACAATAAAAGTTGAACTCAAGAAATACCAAAACATCAAAATAATATTGTCTATTCATTAGAATCATAATTTTGATCGAAAAAAATTTTCATTACAATTCATAATTGTCCTCGACAAGTTTTCATATTTTGAAATCGTTGCATAAAAACCATGTCATCTATACTATTAAAAATGTTTTTCTCAATATATGCAACCAAGCAATCATTCATCCATGAATTAACCAAATTTTAAAACTTGATAATATAATATTGAGTTTGAGAGAAAAACTCACAAACAATGAGAAAGTTTGCTCCCGCCAAAAAAAGAGAAAAATGGATTAAAATCTCTTTGGTTTTTAGCTATTTGTGTACAAAGTTAATATAATAATAATAGTTTTATAAAAACTTTTGGGAATGGGTATGCAAAAGGACGTGTAGTCTTGGAGGAAATGCAGGTTTGGCTAGGTAGGGCCCACGTGGTAAAATAAATATGTTAATTAATATGGATTATCTAATAGCAACATACTTTTTTTTGTATATAATAAAAATTGAGTGGGACTTGGGACTGCACTGGTCCTAAAGTGCCTCTGCCCCTGGATCAAGTCTTATGCCAAAAAGAAAATATTGTATTCATCAAGCTTCCAAAGTAAGTTCCTCAAACATGTTGAGGGTTTTTTTTTCTTCTTCAGCAATCGTTGTGTTAGTTTCGTTTTTCTTGTAATAATATTTGGCCTTTCAAATATTTGGTTGTAATTTTATTTTTATAAAGCATTTAGCCTTTCAAAAATGCACATATGCTAAAAAATTCTTAGGTCCGCTAATAATACAACACTCATACATTCCACTAATATGTATTGTTTAAATTAGTTAAACTACTATTTAGAGACATTTAAACGAATTTTAAAAATATTTATTGTCATTTTAAACTACTATTTATTGTAAAAATATTTAAATTAATTAAACAACTATTTAGAGACATATTTATTGTTTTGCAAAAATTAACTATGGTACAACACTCATACATTCCACTATTATGTATTGTTTATAAATTTTTTAAAAATAAAATTTATATACATTTAACGTTAAAAGAAAAAAAAAAGTTAACGTTCTAAAAGGTTCTGACCTCCAACAGTCAAAACCAATTTTTTATATAATTTTTAATAAAAAAACGAATTTAAATACATTTAAAACGTTAAATGAAAAAATATATATATTGTAATGGCTAGCTAACATTAGCGTGCCTTTAATATCAGCCATTGAATTGCATTTGCACGAGATGTTCTCACAATCACGCCCACACATTATACTTCCTTTTGTAGGGCAACACATGCGCTGGGCCCACAAAAAATTTCTCATGGTCTATAGTTGGGCTACAAGTGGCATGATTGTAGGGCTAAAGAGCTAAATATGGCCCTCAAAATTTGGCCAAACTTTTTTTAACCCATGGCTGGAGATGGAGAAACACTTATATGAAACAGGGATAACATTATTTTGCTATCCCAGCCAATCATGGTATGCCACGTGTGATCACTTTTACACATAGCAGTCTGTGATTGGCCTTAAGGAGTGCTTCTGAAAGGACCAAAAGTACTTTTTGAGAACCAAAAGCACAGTTTTGACTATAAATTTGGTAGAAATATTTAAAAGTGCTTATGAGTAATAGAAGCACTTTCTTGAGAAGCTTCAGAACGCTCTTCCAAGTACTTTTCCAGGAAGTACTTGAATTATTAGCAAAAAATCCAGCAATCTTCTATTATAAGCGCTTATAAGCATAAATACTTCCACAAAAGCAGTCCCAAATGAGCCCTTAACATGTTATAGGGCTACATTCAGGCAAGGCCAACTTCCTATAAACAATATAATACATATTTTGGCAAGGACCTGCTGTGAAGTACATTATACGATAGACTGGGATCTTTCAAGCCCAGTTGCCAAGTCTGGTTTGATGATCCCAGAATCTTAAACAGAAAGGAAAATGCTAACTTAGGCATGTATTATTTTGTTATATGTCGCCTATAGCATCTAATCTCATCAAACTTCATGATCAAATGTTATTATATCATTCATGAATGTATACATTGGATTTTGGCCGAACACAAAATGTGCTTATATTGGATGGAATTCCTTAAACCAAAAATTATATTTTTAAGTAGTAATAGTCTTCTGACCATTATGTATGCAATAGATCATTACCTGACAAGGTATTCACATCTAAACTTCTTTACTCTCTAAAATGGTTCGTCTTAACTTTCGGAACCAAAAGAGAGTTGTGCAGCCAGCAATGCCTTGTGATCCCAAACTCCCAAGCCCATATTTTCAAATCATGAACATATACTATTGCAGCTTGCCCTGAAGTAGTTGGACAATTTGCTCTGCTCTCAATTGGATGCCATTGAGATACTCTGTAAGAACACGTTGCTGGTATGAACCTCCCTCCTGTTGTACGGAAACCAAAAATAAAAAAGCATCAACATCTGGGAAATAGAAGCAACAAAACGAAAATAGATAGGTTATTCAAAAACCAAGGTTGTTTCTCACTGTTCGGATCAGAGTCCGTTCAACCCTCTTCTTAATGACAGCATAGAGCTCCTGTGGTAAAATTTCCCCTTTGCCAAGTGTTAATCCATTGAGCAGCAGCTTGTTCCATTCTTCCTCAGGAGCTGCAAGGCAGATCCACCAGACATCAGATAAAATTGAGTGACTTTCTAATTAACTGCTGAGAAATATAATAGAAAGGTCAACCAACCTCCCCCCACGACAGTTTTAGCTACAGCAAAACCTAGAAAATGCATCTTACACGACACAACAAAAAGTAGCCAATTCATAACAAAATAATCAGAATGTGATCAAAATGCAGAGAGGTAGTTTTCATATCTGTTTTGTGGTTATGTGTTACAGGCAAGTACCAATTCCACTTCCTTTTATTCAAATCAAGCAATCCCAGTCCACAACTCCATGAGGCATGCATAAACAAGAAGTTAAATCTAATGATAACCAATTATATGAGTAATTGATAGAATTTAGGATCAAACTTTTCGGCGTATGGTTCACAATGCAAAACATGTATCTCTAAATTGTTTTAGTTCATCTAATAACCCTTATGTATTTTTTCCCACGTTATGTACACCATGACATAAGCATAATTACCATGGGAGAAACCCTTAGGATCAAACTTTTTAGCGTATGGTCCTGGTCATCGAACCAATCTATTGAGTTTACAGGATGCTTTTATCTACAATAACCTGAACCCTAAACTGAAGCCCTATTTGTTATCTTATACAGGATTCAACCAATCACTCCTTTCAACTTTATGACCCCACATCAGGAAATTCCTTCAACATACTAGACCAAATAACAAACGTGTTGCAATACCCTATAAACAGAATATATTCTTTTGAAAACAGCAAGAGACACCAGATTCTCCGAAGGAGCACCATCAATATGCATGAAATTCATAACAATGAAGAAACCATTACTACAGAAAACATATGTGGTTAGTAGAAAACACTTGAGGTTAGGAGTTACAACAAAGCTCTTTATCAAGAACCAGCAAGCTAATTCTTCAATTATAAGTTCTGCAAGATAATTTAGATTATAATGACAAATTCTCTTTTATAAGTTTGATGGCAGACACCTTTGATTATGGTTTCTAGAAACTGCTCGGCCTTCAGAATTTCATCCCCTGCAAATAGTACACAATTATTAAGAAACCCGACTTATGAGATAAAAAAAGCACAGTAGTATTACAAAGAAAATTATTTTTTTATTAAAAAAGGTATTTGTTGGTAAAGTTTGTTGATAATTAAAGCACTATTCAGAGACACACTAGTCCAAATATATAATGGAATAAGACAAGGTGTGTCATAACCTGCACCCAGAAGGTCAAATATTAGAAATATCAAAGGCCACCCTATCTCTCATTGTCCACTCCCCAGGTCAACATGTCTTCATGTAGTACAACTCCGCAAACTTTCGAATGGTGTCAACTCTTAACATGATTCTGTCACAACAATCCTTAAATGTGCTTGCCACATTGGCAGTTTGGCATAATACCTCAAAAAACTAGTCAATTATATAGTCTAGATCAACCTCCCACATTCAACTCCCTAATGTATTCCTCAAGGCCCATAATCAAATCCACTACATCCTCCTCAGGTGCCAAACTTGTCCTGCAATTCCTTTGAACCCATGTGGCACTACCGAATTAGCTTTGATACCATTTGTCGCGATACAAGGAGCACTCTATCAAAGTGAATGAAGTATCCGAAGAGGATTAGTTAGAAACAAGGCTTTATATAAGTATAACTTAGATAGACTCTAGTACATAACCAATGAGCGATTCAACACATGTTCACACAACCCACACTAATGGAATCAGGGAATCACTTTGTGAATAGTGAACCATAATGGTTTGAAATGCCACCAACAATAGCATCAGTAGTGTCAGAGAATATAAAACCCTACATCTGGAACTGGAAGCCATGCATTATAATCTATTCGGTCTCTCCACCATTGCCAATTGGTTCTAACAAGTACACATCATACACTAGTTTTGCTACCCATGCAAGAGCACTACTAATTTTATGTCCAGGCTCCAGCCCTTCCTCAGGGGTTATCCTCCCTCTCTTTTTCCTCTTTTTTGTTCGAAATATACTCATAGGAATAAACACAGAAACTAACATGAAAAATACTACTAAAATTATCAGAGCATTACATCAATTTTCAAACATTGGCCAAGGTCTTCATAAATCCATGACACCATACTATTTGCTTTTATACAAGTCCAAAGCATATGATAGCATGTCTAAAGGCAAGGGCACTGCAATTACCTTTTTTTGCATAGCTACGCTTGCATAGAACAGTAGAAGCATAGAGTTGTAAAACCTTTTGTAACATAGCCTCAAACCCTGGCTTATCTCCATCTCCTTTTGCCTGAAATTAACTAACAAAGTACATTATAATTGAATCTTATATGAAGATCACAAAGATAAAAAAAAAGTGTATCCAAGCAGTATTGCAAAAGGGTTTGAACTTCAATTCAAAAGTCTTGTAAGGAAGTTTACAACTTAGCGTGTCTAAAGCATCAAATGGAAGAGCTTGTTCATGAAAACAGCAATACAATAGAAGGACCACAATATGGATACCTGTGCACATTCTAGTAGCATCACTTTGAACTTAAAGGAGAAGAAGAAGAAGAAAGAGTAAATGACAAATTTTGAAGATAACTTCTTATACAACATAAACAACGCAAGAAAACACCACAATTCAAATTTTCTAGAGCCAATTCAAGGGCAATGTGAGAACGTAGTAGCATATGATTTACTACTCCTATAATGATGAAGGATCTTATGGTTCCAAGAAAAGAATATTCAGGCGGTAGCAATAAAAGTATTAAAACAAACTCACTTGTCGTAGTTGCGCATTAACTTCTGAAAGAAACCCTTCGTCCAGTTGTCCATCTTCCTCCCTTTGGACTAATTCCTATTGATCAAAAACAGAAAATACTGAATAAACTATATATTGAAAATAGTTTTGATTTTGCATTAGCAAGTTGTTATGGTTGGAGCATCCAACCCAAAACCAATTAGCTATTGTGGAGAGATTCCGAATTTTACATATTGAGATACACAGCTTAAAATACCTAATGGGAGACTTATAATTGTCAACACTCCCCCTCATGTGTGGCCATAAGAGAGCCAAAGATGTGGATAAATTATATGAGGAGAAACAGAGCACGTTTAGTTCAATTGGGTCTGACATGTGGATGAATTGCCCACTCCAGTACCATGTTAGAGTTGCAGCATTTTACACAAAATTTATTGGTTACAGGTGGAGATCTCCAAGATTTTATATTAAGACGTAACCCAATGTGGGATTCTTATATTTACAACAACAAAAAATTAATGATTTGAAAAAAAATTTAAACAGGCAAGTATTGCATATATTCAACTGTGAAGTAAATTTACACAAAAAGAAGAAAGAAGAAAGGACTCACTTTCTCCATTAATTTAAGAGCCTCAGGATCTCTAGGAGGCCATTGAATTTCTTCTACTTCATCAACTACAGGTTTCAGAATCCCCTTGAGGACATCAGTAGCTGAATCTATCTTTTCCTACAGGGAAAGGGGGAAACAATAAATATAAAAATTCGTGTTGCATAAAACACTCAGGAATATCATTTAACATAGACCCAAAAGAAGAATAAGTCCTGGTGGGTATGGTGTAGAGAGAGAGAGGTACATTGGTCTTATGAACAAGGCGATCCACTATGCTCATTATAGATATAGCCAATTCCTCATAGTCCTTCTGAAAGAATGCAAAAGATTAAGCCTTCTTTCACAAGCTTGAACTGGAAAGAAGCCAGCAATAAAAGTATCAACATAAAATTAGAATTAACCAAGTTGAAAACCGTGCTTTATCATCCTCCGATTTGCAGGTATCAGTTCTTGCGGCAAGCCGTATCCAAAAGCCCTCATTAAAAGCCAAGACATTTTCAACAACAAGCTTCTGAAGCTGTTCACCAAGCATAACTAGCAATAAGGATTACATTTTTAATTTTACAGGTGGAAGTCAATGAAAGCTGCATTGAAGTCCCAACATAAAAGAATCCATGTTTAATCAAACAATATATACCCCAAAACCCTTCTTTTCTCCACACATTCCATATGATTACAAAATTATATCATGATACATAAAACTATAAATCTAGTGCAAAGAAGATCAAATCCTATTCCAAATATTCTAGCATTCACAGGTTAGGTTGACAATGGGTGGAGAGACCCATGATATTATATGCACTCATGCAAGGCTTCCATTTCCCAATGTGGGGCAGTACTCTCAACAACCTTATACAAGGAATTTATTAATTATATGTCCTTGGCCTTGAAAGGCACTCCCGAAAAGAAGCTATTAAGGAATTGCCTTTACAGCCCTATCTCATGAATCGTCAAAATTTCAAACAACAAAGTGCCTTTACTACTGCCATTCTGCTTAAGATTATTAACAATACTAATTTGCTCTTATCTCCTTTATCTTCAAAATTTCAAATAAAGTAAAACCCTTAGAACTAGTATTATTTCACATAACAGTGTTAGTTTATAGTCTCACTACCACAGAAAGAGGACAATGGCAAGTAAAGAAATCCAAATTAGTTAACTGATTGCTGAAAAAGAAATCATATATGGAAGGAAAGTGCAAACTCCACGTTTACTTACTTCAATTGGATTTGCATCTCTTAGTTTGTCTATCAGCCTATCCACTTCTACAGTCTTTTTGAATGCTCCCTCGGCATCTTGATTGACTGCACAGATCAAAGTTCTCCTGTTTTATTAGATCGAAACACTCAATTTTACTATTGACAATTCCATCAACCAGATTCAAGAAAAGCGCAACCATAAAAATGGAACAAAACAAATCAGCATATGGAGGCACCAACAGAAAAGCAATGACCATGGCAACTGACTTTCCAACAAAAAACCGATAATGTAGGCCATAAGATTTAAAAGAATAACCAAACAACCCAAGAAAAAGGAAACTAGAAAGAATAGTCCTTTACAACGAGCTGAATAAGTTATTAACGGCTACAAATGATCATTCTTGGTTTTCTTTTTATTTTCTTTCGAAAAACAAATAGTAAACTATTAACGGCTAAAATGACCATAGTAATCAATTTCCCTACAGAAAAACAACAATTGAGGAACTCAAATTAGAAGGGAAAAAAACCCCAAAAAATAAGAATCATCATTTCTAACAAACTAAACGACAATTCTTGGGGTTTTCTTTCTTTAAAAACAAATAAATAAAGACATTGCCCCAACATTGAGCGACGGTAGAAAGAGAATGACAATTGAGTTGACAATACCTCCTCTTCCAATTCATATGAGTTGTGGAGCCGAACCGCTTTGAACTCGACACCCCCGTAACATCCCAATTCTTGAGAAATGAAGTTCTTAATCCAACGCAATAATATACCTATTCAAAATGTAATTTTTTTTTAAAAAAAGCCCACAAATTGTCAACAATATTCAAAATGTACATTACATAGAAATGCATAAATATAGAGAGAGATAGGGACTGGAGTTGAATGAACAAAAAAAGAAAAGTTTGTAAAAGAAGTACCTCTTGGCGGGGAGAAGGTGAAGAGGAGCATCGATGAGCTTGTACGGACGGAGGCGCGGGCATGAATGATAAGGAGGAGGCCATTGGAGGGAAGCTTGTACGGACAATGGCGGGAGTGAGAGTGAGAGAGAGGCCGGTGATGACCGTTCAAGTTTGTATATCAAGATTTTTCTTCTTTTATCGCTTTCTGGGGAATTTTTAGCGGATGGGAAGCTTTGGGCCTACACCCAAAGAGAATGCTTTTTTAGGCCCCTAAAAAGGTCCAGTTTTCAAATGGGCCCATACCAATCTAAGAACTTCTCCATGAGTCTTTATCCATAAATCATTTCAAATTGGGGACCGATTCTAACTTTAGAGAGATGTATCACTATACTCAGAGCTAGTTGATTTAGTCGGTCACGTTATATTATTTGATCAAATTTCAATGATTGACATTCAAACTAGGTCAAATCTCAACAAAGTATTTTCTACACTATGAAAGGAGGGTTTCAGTTTTCTTCTTATTTTCTCATGAGCTAGGTAGACTTACCAAATATGAGAAATCATCCAAACCCATTTTCCTCGAAACCAAATGCCTTGGAGATACGAAAGATGGTCAATTGAGACACAAAAGTAATTTGGTTTCATGACCAAAGGTACCAAGAGATGAGAATTGCAACTCAACCCAACAACCCTGTGTTTAGTTGGCCCAAACCCTAATGTTTTCCTTAATGGTGTGCAAATCCTAAGTTCGTATTAAGTACCACATGATGACTTAATTAGTTAATTGAGGACAAACTGACAAAACTCTTTTTTTTCATCAATCAATCTTTGTCATCAATCAATCCATCGCATGAAATCAGCATCAGCATATATGTTGTCACTTGCCAGTAGAGCTCTTTTGTCCATGATCTTTTTTTTTTGGTTTCCCAGGGTATCCCCCGCGCGACTGCGGAGACTAAATCCCTCGAGGTACGGTCGGGCGCAAAGCGGGGACCTCTCCCAACAGAGTCTGTTCTATTTGCAAGTGCCTGGGATCGAACTCATGATCTTTCAATCTGTGAATAATATTGTAGTTTGAATTACATTTCAATTTGGTCCATGATCTTTCAAATCAATCATAATTTTATGCCCTAATGTGGAAAAGGAAGCAAAAATGTAATCCATAGATTGATGAAAGTGCTAACTCACTGTGAATTTATTTAAGTATGATTCTAATTGTTTACATGATACAATTACACTTTGGACACGGACGCAAAAGTAATCTATTGGTGTTACATAGTTGTAATGTATGTGTCAACATCTTGTCGATATGATTCACACTCTTAGTAGGTACTTTGTATTTAATTCATTTAAGGGAGATTCACTATTATACCCAATATAGGAGTCTAAATTATAAATAATAAATAATAAAAACCATATATGAAATGGACTTTAGAAACACATTCAAAATCCATTTACAACTTAACAAAAAGGCTTTTAACTTCTTTTAAATTACAAAATTGCCATTGATTTCTTAAAACAAACTCAACCCTAAAACCTCATTAAAAAGCCCAAAACACTCAATAGGGCATCAAAGTAATTTAATAATCAAAATTAAATTCAATAAGACTAGCTGTCATTTTTTGGGTTTTTTTTGTTTGTTTGTTTATAGAAATGAAATGGTGTAGGGTTTATCTATATTATTAGTGCTAAGAATGGGTATGTGACTAAATATCTCTTCATTTAACTTGGAAATGACATGACTTAATTTTGGAATAGACATGCTATGTTAATATGCAATTTATTGTTTTTTTTTTAATAGAAAAAATTTCAAAGGAGATGAGATTTTAACTTGAGACATCTTTTAATAAATTAAAGGAGCACTGTTATTAGACCAATGTTCAGTGTGTATTATGCACTAGTGGATCCATTTAGGGTCCAGTGAAGGCATAATCATGTTCTTTATCTATGAAGGCACCAAATTTTCATGAAATTTTGTGTTAGATGGAAGCAAATTGTTTGATAAAATGCCTCAAAGAAGACTAAGGCAAGGCAAGGGGGACAACCTTTATTCTCTACTTATGTTATTCTTCTTGTTCTTTGGACTCACTTTTCTCATTATGTCATGTTATAGAGGAATTAGGTAGAAGATGTAGAGTTTATGTTATCTAATTTGTGCATGATGTGTTTTTGTCTTTTACATATAAGAGTCGATTGATCTTCATTATTGGCAGTAATGTTTTCTTGCTCAAAAAAAGAAAATGCATGGATCCACCACTGGTATTATGTACTTTCTTTTTCACCGAAAGAGAAATATCACTAAATCAATAGCTAATAAAGGGTTGTATATTTGTGGAGTTGCGATGCTTATCTAATAATCAGAACGTATTTAAGCCAAAATGATTGAACACAATTAGCATCGGTGTCGTGCTCTCATCACCAAATACTTCGTATCTTTCAAGTCTTAACATAATTGATGTCTCACCAACCGAAGTAGACATTTTTCATAGAAGACTGCTTTAGCAGATCCATACAAATTTGTGCTCAACTTTTGAAGACTTTTTAGAGAAAACAAAAGATCTCTAATATTCCCTAGCAGTGCACCATCCCCAAGTGATCAAAAAGTTCACCAAGTATATATATTTTATCACTGCCAAAAGCGTCTTAAGACAAACAGACAATGCGTAGTGAGTAAGTGAGTAGCTTTCCACATGGTCTTATTTATGTTCCAAAATAAAATACCATCCATGTGAGGAGAGTATTGGAACTTTACAACCAAAATAATAAATAATTACAAGAATAATATTTATAAAGATATGATAGCAGATTTTCTTCTCTCTCTCTCTCTCTTATCTCCTTCTACCTTTTCTTAATCTTCTTCACGTTCTTAATGTTTAATGATTCAGTCTCAAAATCTTCCATATCCAGGTCTGAAAAAGTGTTCTTTTGTCCTCTAGTGCTTTGCCGACTTTTTTTTATTTGCAATCTTCTCAGAAGTTTTTGCTTTCCCATGGTGGAACGTGCATGTATGATTGGGAGGGAGGAGCTGCCAACCACGTTTCTAATTTTGTTAAATCTTGAATTGAATCAATTCCTAAAGGTTTAGTTGAGACTTACCAACAAAGTCACCTAAGTCAATGGTCCTCTAATGCACAAGGCAAATACAATTTTTCCATGTGTTCCAATTGGTTTTAATTATGGGATTTGAAAATATGGGATTTGAAGTTTTAGAGTTGGTAAATTGTTAATTACCCAACTAACCTAATAAGCATGATGAGATTTAAATGCATCGAATTTAGATTTTCTTTAAAAACGAATCAAAATCGTATATAAATCTTGCTGATGATGCAGATGATTTTGAATTTTGTTATGTAATAATGGCAATAACGGCCGCAATGACAGTTGTTCTTTGTATTAAAATCTCGTTGTCTTGTATTTAGAGATTGTGATGTTTGAAAAACGTTGCTTTTGATAGGTAGAGATGTTTGTACGTCATGGACTTTGAGCACACGAGAATTCATACCAGTGGTTGACCAAAACAAAAGGATTCATAAGAGAAGATAACAATTTATTCTTTTTCTTTACTTCTTTAGAGGTTTATAGCTTTTTGGGTTTTTAAAAAAGCCAATTTATAGCTAAATTGTGCCAATTCTAAGAGTCAGTGGTAAAATATTTTGCTCCACAACGACAAGGCTTTTTTTAACTCATGTGTTGGAGAAAAAGACCAATTGGACCATTTCCCTTCTGGTTTGGTCTGCCTTTTCGTTTTCCAATTTATTTAATTCCTTCACATAATTATGGGGAAGAAGAGGGCAGCTGGTGTGGGTGCCGACAAGGACATAATGCGGCTAGTACAACTTTTTATAAATGAATTGAATCCTACTTGCCAAATTGTGCATCTATAATGTATCCAATATATATTATAATACTTCCCTTCTTATCGGGTAAGTAGAGTTGCTACATTTCTATCAATGATAATGTAGAAATTCAAGATATGGGATTTAATACGGTTAACATTCACTCAAGTCCTGAAATTTCTTGTGAATTGTATTCTACATACATCAATAGTTGAGAGTAATCGAGACGTGAATAACTAGGAAAGCAAAACCTCTAGCTAATTGTTAATTACTCTGTGATCTGGTCTCCCATATGCTAACACTGCTCCATCCACATCACCTCTCTCTCTCTTTCTTCTTTATTATATATAAATATTATTCTTAGCAGAAAAAGGGTGGGATTTACCTCTCTCTCTCTCTCTCTCTCCCACTATATTAGAGAGAGAGTCTAGGATCAATGTTTGCCAAGATGTCCATCTCCAACCCTAAATATTCTCAGACTAATGACACTGAAAAGTCTGGTTGGGATAGGATATAATTAGCCAGAAAATAAAAGAAAAAGCCTTGGTAGCTGCCTTCTCTTTACTCAAAGAAAGAAAGAAAATAAATACACAGTCGAGAGACAGAGACAGAGACAGAGAAAGAGACATCATCCAGAGCTTTCTCAAAGACACACAGAAACAGTAAAAGCACACACCTTCTCTGAGCTTAGCTGCTCTCTCTCTCTGGTCCTCCCTAGCCAATGCCCGAAAGCCCATACTAAACTTTGTCTGCATCCCAGTCTCCCCCATAACATTTCTTTTGCACCCATCAACACCTTAAAAGAACATAAAAACACAGCACATCACAAGCCTGCATAGAAATCTGAAGTCACAAGCCTGCATAGAAATTTAGAGATCATGAAGATCCGGTGTGATGTGTGCGAGAAAGAAGAGGCCACTGTTTTCTGCTCCGCAGATGAAGCTGCTCTCTGCGATGTCTGTGATCGCCGTGTTCACTACGCAAACAAGCTGGCCGGCAAGCACAAGCGCTTCTGTCTTCTCCACCCAACTTTCAAAGACTCCCCTCTCTGTGATATCTGCCAGGTACTGCATACTTCTCTGTTTTTGACTGATAAACAATGATAATTTTCAATACAAAAGTGCTCTGTTTTCTCATTTTCTCGGTGGGTTTTGCAGGAGAGGCGCGGATTTCTGTTTTGTCAACAAGACAGAGCGATTCTTTGCAGAGAATGCGACTTTTCGATTCACAAAACCAACGAGCACACACAGAACCACAGCAGGTTTCTTCTTCCAGGCGTTAAGCTCTCAGCTGCTGCTTCTTTATATCCAACCTCATCCTCCTCATGCTCCGGCTTCTCTCAAGTTGCCAATACCACTGAT